TATTATTATATGTTGATTATGATAGAATTTAATTAATCATCACTTGACATATTTATCACACATAAGTGAACAATAAAGGGAGAATTATCTGAGATTCCAAAAAAGAATTTAATTACCAAAAAATCATAATGACAAGTGACCACAATAAATTTGGTGTCAATTTTCTGCTCTAGGTCGTGTTATTACATGCTCCTCAGTTGTTAGTAGATTTTAAGATAATTAAATCCTTTCTTTAAAACCTTATTGTAATTCTCCCAAACTATAAATGATGCATAGATATCTCTTTCACATTTTTGTTGAAAAAAGTTAAATACTGAATTAAAATTAAATACAAAAGAAGGGAACAAAGAAGGGCATCGTTTGATTCTTTTTATTTTTATTTTTTATGATAGTTTTATAAGACTTTTCTTTTTGGAAACAAGTTTGGAGAAGAAAAAAAAGATTAAAGTGAAAATTTGTTCTAACAGTTTTCATTCAAAAGTACTAAGTACCTAAAAATTTATTCGGATTCAATGTTGCCCTGATAGTTACCAAATCATAGCAATATTGCCTTGAATATTACCCACGTTAAATTTGATGTTTGTTGACCAAATATACTAAATAGGCAAGTTTAGTACATGTCATTCATACTATTTTTGTTTTTGAGTTAATGTATAAAATTGTTCAGGAAGTTTTTACCGGACGTTTTTACTTAAGAGTGACGAAAATTAAAAAATTTCTAAATTGTAGTAATGTTGGTTAAGTTTTACTATTAATTTCTACTTTATTTTTCCAAGTCATGCACATTTAATTCTTGGTTTTGAATCCCAACAATGTTTTCTCGTGCAAAAGGAAGACTCTTTCTACACGTTGTTAGTTTAATCAACCAAAAAGAAAAAGAATGAGAATAAGAACCCCATTTGCTCTTAGTTTGGTACCTTTTATGAGCATAGAAGGATAACAGAAAAAGTATAGAAGATAACATGTGCAGAGGAAAAAGTCATCAGAATTCTTGAAAAGCACAAAAGTAATAATTTTCTTCTTGGAGTTGTTGCTGAACCCTCGCATTGGAAAAAAGACAATGAAGTAAATGATGCGTGAACCTATGGAATTTAATTAACTAATGATCAAACTTAATTTGAAAACAGTCAATGTGATGTAGTTATTATTTAAAATTTTTTAGTGTAATATTGAACAAAAAAATAATTCTAGACACCCAACGTTTTTAAATAAAAGTTTTCGGAAAAAATTTGTTTCTTAACTCAAGAAAATATTAAAAAAAAATTGTTGGGATGATTATTCTAAAAAAATCATATTTGAGGGGGGAAAAAAGCTTGTTTATAATAATTGTTTTTGAACTCAACTTCAGTTAGCACCAAGCAAACTAGAGAGTGGAGACAGCAAGCTGGCTGAGATTAGAGAGTGGCAAGTGGCAAGTTCAAATTTGAGAGGCAAGAGCTCAAAGCATCAAAACTAAGGGTGCGCATGGGCAGGGAACACTGCCGAATGTCTTAACAAATATCCATGTTCTAAGAATTTATCAATATCTATAATTTATTAAAAGCAAGACAATAAAAAATTGTAATTAAAGCCTTAAAATCCAAATGATTTGCATGAATCTCTTCAAAGTTGAGAAAATAAAGAAACATATAAAAAAATGCTATATTAACATATTCAATTATATTATTAAGCTATAGTTTAATGTAATTTATAGAGATATATATATTACATTCAAATTGGTATAACTTTTTCATGTTGATATTACTTCATATATTACATTTGATATTACTTCATATATTACATTCAAATTGATATGTGAAGTAATATCAACATGAAAAAGTTAAAAAACAATTATAGTACACAGCAAGATAATTTAGAAAAGTTAGAAAAGGTGGTATATCTTAAGAAAAAAACTAGAACTTTAAAAATGTAAAGTCTAATAATATAAGGGAATAATGTTCCTTTTGGGTATTGAAATATAATAAAATATAGTACATTAATATTACACTATATATAGTATAATTATAAAAAAAATATATTATAATATAAATAATTATATATATTTCGGATAGAGCTAAAAGGACAGAGCAACATGTTGTGCCTGCAGCCCAGCCCGAAAATGCCCATTTTTTTCTCAGGCTATGTTTTTTTGGGCTGGGCAAGGCATTTTTTGGCGGGTTAGGGCAGGCACACCGGGTTATTGAGCCTCATGAACACCCCTAATCAAAACGCCTAAAGAAGATAAGATTCCACTTATAACTAATCTTATAAATAAAGGAACAAAAAATAAGAAACCATATAAACGTTGTTTACGCTTTTTATTTAAAAAAAAAAACAGATTTTTTCAGTTTTACAAGACACTTAACTAAAAATTAATTAGCAAACAAGTATTTTTATTTTTTTCGTTTTTAAATATAAAAATTGTTTTGGAGATAAGAAATTAAGCAAGATCATGGTAAAAAGTTCTCTTTTCTCTGCTTTTTCTTTTTTGGCCCTTCACTTCTTTCACACCGTGGGGGTTTTTTTTTTTTGGCCAGCATATGCCGTTTTGTTCGCTATTTAATATGCAAGCATATAGGTCAAACAATCTGAAATGGATGAGAAATCTGAAACGTGAAGTGTGAGTGAAAGCGGGAAAACTGAAAATGAAAATATTTTCTTCCGCATTGAAACTGATTTTGCAAAAATCCGAAGTAAGTAATATCTCTGGTTCTTAATTAATATAAAATTTAGTTGATTAATTTGAAAAAATCTAAAAAATTACTAAACTACTTAATTATAATATATATTACATAATCTATCTAAAATACGTATATGTATCATTAGATTATATATCAATTTATAAATTAGGCAAATTTGTTTAAAAAATTAATAAATATAAATATTTTAAAATAATTTAGTAATGTTTTTAACCTTTCTAAATTAGTCAACTGAATTTTATATTAAATGCCAAATATAACATGTGAGAGGAGTTTTTTTTTTTTTAAAGTTTGCGTGAAGTCTTTTTTTATTAAGTATTTTTTGGATGATGGCTAACACCCCACGTGAAATGGAACCAGCCTAAGGAGGAAAACGATAGTGAGAGAGAGAGAGTGAGGGGGGCGCAGACATAGTGTAAGAATTTAATAATTTATATTTGTAAGTCTAATTTGCACATTGACAAGTTGAGTCTTATTTATAACTTAAGCTTATACAACTTACAAAAAATTAAAGAAAAAAACAAGTAAATATATCTGAAACACCCAAATTAATACCCCTAAGATGCGCAAATAATATTGAAGTTTCTCAGATCTAAATGAAATTATAGGATTTGGCGGAATGATCTTGCTATCCCTTACATTAAAAAAAAAAAAGAACCTCACCTTCATGAGTCATCACTAGAGAATTTTTGGCCTAGGCTGGTCAATGTAAGATTTATTCCAAATGCCTTTTGAGTTTTGGTTATTCGCCAAAAAAATATTTATAACCATTAAGCCAAGACTTCTCAGTGAATAACAATTTTTTGGCAAAACAAAACAAATGATAAGAACAACTAAGCCAGTGTCAAATTATGTGTGCTTCCACATTAACCAGTCTTTAAGCAGGAAATAGTGGTCACTTCCTTAGATAATGTGGTCATTTGCTAGTCCATTATTGTTATTTTCTGTACTGTTAGTCATTCATGATTAAATTTGTGATTAAATCAATTAGTGGTTATGAAAGAAGTAGTCACTCAAATTATATAATTATTTGCTAGTTAGTTGTTATTATTTGCTATGATTAAACTTATGATTGAACAAACAAGTGTTTATGAAAATAGTGATCACTCTCTCAGATGCCATCCTCTTATAATCAGCATTCATGCTAAAACTTTTGATCGAACCAATAGGATTTGGCTTCTCTCCTTTACTACTCCCATTGGCCACTATCTGGTGCCACAAACGACATCGTTTTTAGTCCAAATAGAAGAGCAAACTCGTTAAAAAAGCTGAATGAGTTAGGGGAGAAATGACTCATGAATGGGTGAGGAAGAAAATAGCATTGTGGTGGTGAGTGGTAAAAAATTTATTCACCCTCACTAATTTATTTGATTCAAGTGTATTTAATAAAAATGAAAAGTAAAGAATAAATCATATTTGTTTGAGTTTTATTTATTTATATTTACTTATTAGGGACACTGCACACTCACAACTACAATGCTATTTTCTCCCTCACTCGCTCATGTCTCATTTCTCACCCTGACTCATTCAGCTTTTTTGACAGGTTTGCTCTTCCATTTTGTCTGAAAATGACGTCATTTGTGGCAACGGACAGCAGCGGATGGGAGTAGCAAAGGAGAGAAGCCAGATCTGAACAAATGGGTATTTGCAAAACCAGTGGTTACTTGCCAAAAAACTAACGAGTCATGCTTGAACTAATGAGTGTTTATGAAAAAGGTATTCACTCGTTCTCGTATAGATGGTATAATCATTTATTAGTCTGTTGTTATTTGCCTAATTATTCTAGGCCTTTCATACGTACATGTATACACATGTACATCCATACATATAAAAGCTTCATAGTTATTTTATATAGTATTTTGCATTATATTATTATGAAGTTTTGGTGGCTCATTGATTATAATTTTTTAGGTAACCAAAAGTTGGTGGAATTAAATTCCACCTTTACTAACTTTTATCGTAAAATTTTTCATTTTGTTTTATTTTTTCATGTGAGGAGCAGTAATATTATTTTACCAACTTTTAAAATTTTATTTTGGATTAAAGGCCTTCATATGTCATTTATGTGTATATATCTCATCAAACTACTGTTTTGGGTTTTGTATGTTTAGAGGTATTTACTTACCTTTTTTTCCAAATTTAAATTCCGTTTAATTTCCTTCCATTTGCCTAAGAATAAGCATAATTTCTGATGCCAAAAAAGAATAAGCATCATTTCTGTAATAATAATAAAAAAGGAAGAAGAAGAAAAAGAATAGCAAGCATCAGTTCTTGCACAGAGTCACACGCACATGGGAATTATAATTGCAATTTTTTTTGTTCTGAGTGAAAAATATCAACTTGTCTTCTCCTCTCCTCCTCCTTCCTTCCGCTTTCCTCTTTCTTGCTTTCCGTCGCCAAACCATTTTTTCTTCAACTTCATCCAATCATGTAACTTCCTTCACTCTCTTTACCTGCTGCTTCGGATTCAAGTATTTCACTCTTTATCAGCTCTCAAGATTCTTGCTTTTTCTGTTCTTCATACTCTTCTTAGCTAGCATACCGCTCAATCATCTGAGATTTCTTTTGGGTTAGTATTTCCCCACTCCCCCTGAGATTTTGTGTATCATTTCTAATAATCTGATGCGAGATTTCAGTTATGGCTGCTATTTTCTTTTGAATTTTTTGATGATTCGGTTCTTAATTGTGCTGTATATTGTTGGTTGAACAGGAGGTTAACGAAGAAGGGTCCGATGAGTTCAACTTCGAATCCACTTTCCGAAATATCCCCATCGCCGTCCCCGTCGTCCGCGACGGCGCCGGCTTTGGTTTTGTCAAACTCCGGCAAGAGAATCGACCAGGCTGGGAAGAAGAAGTACGTGAAGCAAGTGACTGGACGGCACAACGATACCGAGCTTCACTTGGCGGCTCGACGGGGAGATCTTGCCGCCGTGAAGCAGATCCTCGGCGACATCCATTCGCAGATAATGGGGAATTTCAGTGGTGATGATGTGAACACAGAGATAGCTGAGGTGCGAGCATCTGTTTTGAATGAAGAGAATGAATTGGGAGAGACGGCTCTATTCACAGCAGCAGAGAAAGGGCATCTTGATGTTGTGAAGGAATTGCTTAAGCATTCAAATAAAGAGACTGTTTCTAAGAAGAATCGCTCAGGCTTTGATCCATTGCATATTGCTGCAAGTCAAGGGCATCATGGTATAAGGATCTATACATTTATCTATATATTTACTACTAATGAACAATACAGCTAATTCTTCACACTCGTGCATCATAAGCGCCTCCCAGTTTTTGTTCCAATTTCGAGAATTTTTCTTATTGTGATCAGGCTGTTCTGATCCAGGTGATTGGCATTGGTTCTGGTAGTTTTGGGAACTGGAGTTATGAGTAAATATACAATTTGGTTATGGAAATATTAACTAAATGCCCTATCACATGAGTCTGTGTTTAACCCTTTGTACAAATTAGCCCTTCAAAGTTTGTAAGTTTTAAAATAAGCAGTCCCTCAAAGTAGAGTATATATAATATTTGGTTTGATGGAGAGACTAACTAACAGTTACTTTTGAAGGAATTGACTTTAGTATTTAAGTCAAGGAGAGATGTGAGCTCTTGTTTTTAATTTCCTTGTATTAATCAGCCCTTCAAAGTTTGTGGATTCTAAAACATGTATGCAATAGAATTAGTCCCACCACGAGCACACAGCTTAGCTGGTAGAGGTTTTTGCTAGTTTGACAAGTGGTTTCAGGTTTGAGTTGGTTAGTGGCTTCTAGTTTTTTTTTTTTTTTTTTGGGGGGGGGGTGTGTTTGATACCAAAAAGACAATAGATTTAGCCCCTCAATACTCTACGGGTCAACAGGGAGACTAGCTTGTGGTGGGTTATTAAATTTGAGGGACTAACTCATTTAGAGGACTTATGGACTACGGTGATAGGAAGTATGCCTTTTGAGGATAGTATTGTGTATCTGCTCTATAGTTAATTTCTAGTTATATTAGAAGATGTCATTGCTAAAAATTGCCGATGTAAGAAGTTTTATCATTTACCAGCTAAATCTAATTAATTGGCTTTCATATTAAATCATTGGGTGGAAATTTTTTGGAAATTATGAGAACATAGGAATGGGAAAGTGTATGAAGTCATTGTTTTGTTTATCAGACTAAACTTATCGTACGAAAGTAGCCACCCTACCTAGATTGGTGAAACAAAAATCTTTTTTAATACCTTGATCTGTATTTGTAAAGTAGCTTTTATTTCCTTGAGTTGATGTTCTCAGGGAAGAAGGTATGGAGGATGAGATGGGGTCATCATAAATAATAGGGAGAATTTCAATGAGGTCTCAAGGAAAGAAAATAATTACCAATAAATCTCAATGACAAGTGAGCAGTTGTCATTTCTTATCCTGGAACTTGTCATTGCATATTATTCTATTGTTATTCAGATTTTTTTGTAATTGTGTTCTTTCGCTGGGTTCTCCCTAAATAATTCAGTCCAGAGTATGAGATGTGGTAAAAGAATATGCCATATATATGCCTTCAACTTTTCACTAGTATTTTAGCGATGTCATGTAGTGGAAGTGCTATATTTTCTGGTCATCAATGTAATCTTTAGCAATTTGTTTGCAGCCATTGTCCAGGTTTTACTAGATTATGACCCAGGATTAAGCAAGACAATTGGCCCATCAAATGCTACTCCACTTATATCTGCAGCGACAAGAGGGCACACAGAAGTGGTAAATGAACTGCTGTCGAAGGATGGTAGCTTGTTGGAAATCTCTAGGTCAAATGGCAAAAATGCATTGCATTTAGCTGCACGTCAGGGCCATGTAGAAGTTGTAAAAGCACTGCTCGGTAAAGACCCACAATTGGCACGTAGGACTGACAAGAAAGGACAGACTGCATTGCATATGGCTGTAAAAGGACAGAGTTGTGATGTGGTAAAACTGCTGCTTGATGCAGACGCCGCTATTGTCATGCTTCCCGACAAATTTGGTAACACTGCATTGCATGTAGCAACCAGGAAAAAGCGAGCAGAGGTAATGCCATCAATTGCTCAGCTTTACCCGCTGTGTGTGTATGTGTGTGTGCCTTCACTTGAGTTCTTCAAAAGATACAATTCTAATTTGTGCCTCCTCGTTTTCCTTCACAGATAGTGAACGAGTTATTAAATCTACCAGACACCAATGTTAATGCATTAACCAGAGACCACAAAACAGCTCTTGACATTGCTGAAGGTCTTCCGCTTTCTGAAGAGTCCTCAGACATAAAGGATTGCCTTTCTCGGTATGGGGCTCTGAGAGCTAATGAGCTCAACCAACCAAGAGATGAACTGAGGAAAACTGTCACTCAGATTAAGAAAGATGTTCACATCCAGCTAGAACAAACCAGGAAAACCAACAAAAATGTTCATAATATCTCTAAAGAGCTAAGAAAACTCCACAGGGAAGGAATCAACAATGCCACAAACTCGGTAACTGTTGTCGCCGTGTTGTTTGCAACAGTTGCTTTTGCTGCTATTTTTACTGTACCTGGTGGCGATGACGATGATGGTAGTGCAGTGGTAGCAAGCGGTTCGGCTTTTAAAATCTTCTTCATCTTTAACGCTATTGCACTTTTTACATCCTTGGCTGTTGTGGTTGTTCAAATTACCTTGGTTAGAGGGGAAACTAAAGCGGAGAGACGGGTGGTGGAGGTGATTAACAAGCTAATGTGGCTGGCTTCTGTTTGTACTTCTGTTGCATTCATAGCCTCCTCGTACATAGTAGTCGGTCGGAAGAACTGGTGGGCGGCAATTCTCGTTACAGTAGTTGGGGGAGTAATAATATCTGGAGTTATTGGCACAATGACTTACTATGTGGTGAAGTCCAAGAGAGGCCGATCGATGAGAAAGCAGAAGTATGCCAAAAGAAGTGGATCTAACTCATGGCATCATTCTGACTTCTCCAATTCAGAGATCGAACGGATTTACGCCCTTTAACCTCGAATTTGCAATCCTGGCCGAAGGCATCAGACCAAGTTATGATGAAAACTGTGACAGGTGTTCTTGATTTATGCTCCAGATCACTGCTTCAAGAGCGAAATAAGAAACTATATGTTTACACATGTTCATCCTCTTACCTCTTGCTGTAGTACCATGAAATATTGGAATCAAGCTTGGTTTTCATTATATTTCTGTGTTGCAGAGCCTAGTGTATTATCTTGATCACCCAGGTAAATATATGCCATTTATGGGCTGATACTGTGATTTGCAGAAAGAAGAAATCGAACAACGATTTTTTTTTCGACTTATCTGACAACATATTTTCGAAGTCTGTGATACTAAGATTTTAGTTTATTTTTAAGATTCCTTGGTGCTAATCGACACTGGGATGAATATTTCATGCCTAATGCTTACGCAGTTGATAAGGAGGCGTCATGGTAGAGGACTTGTGTGTTCATTGTAATAATTTGTAATGTGGGATAAAAATCGGAGGTTGCGATATATAATCCAAAGCAACGAGCAGATGCATGTAAATGATCAGTTTAACATCATATTTTAATTTAATTCAACGTCTTAAAACAATATATCTATGATTCTAGAAAGACTGATAAATGCGTTTTCTATAAATAAGTAATCTAACTAATACAAATTGATGGAGTGTTATACTTCTTGTCTAATGACTAACGAGATCAATATTGTTTTCTTTTTCCTTAAAAAATTCTTACTTTTTAAATTTTATTTTCAATTTTTTAAATTTCTGAAATACTTCATTTATCATAGGCACCCTCTAATTCCCCAATTATGTTCCCCAATTATATAATTCCATGCCTTTATATAACATTAAAATATGTTGGTATAGCATTAAGTGAAATTTTAAAAAGCTAACAAAACAATAAAAACTAGTTAATTGTATTAAATAATGAATGTAAGAAAGTTGAATATGCAAATGCCCCAAACGCCCTTGTACGAAGGAAGATAAAGTGATAAACACTACACAAATATTAATTAATAGCATTCGAAAAAAAAGAAAGAAAAGAAAAGCAGAGTCAATAAATTTTTTCTTTTTTTGAAAAAAAATTAACAAAATGAGATGGCAAGGATGGGCTAATGCCTAATTCCTGTGTTTATAGAAACAGAAAGTTCTTTTTTGGTAACATTATGGAAGCAAAATTGAGCCAACCAGTATTCATAGAGAAATGATACCAATGGCTTATCTTTATCTCCGTCGTATACAAGCGCAATGGAGGTTGGTGGTCATCTTGCTCCTTTCTGGCGTCCTGCGTAGTTGCAGAGTCATAACAGGAGCACGTTGGGAAGAAAACCTCTTCATTTATTTATCATCTACTACTTCCCTTCACTTCTTTATCCTCACCATCAAATCAATTTTGAATAGTTGAGATTTAGGATGTGTTTGAATAAAATCAAACCATAGTTTCAGAAGTGCTTTTACGGTATACGAAATAAATTTGTGAAGGAGTTTGCCTCGATTTGCAGAATAGTGCTTCTAAAAAGTGATTCTTGGGGTATCCAAACACCCTCTTAATATCTCTTGAAAAGTAAAATATATATATAATATTTTAATAAAAAATTGTTTAAAAAGACATTTAAATAACCCAAATCTTTATTTGTGTAATTGAATTTGTCAAAGTCTTAATTCGGTCACATGACCCAAACAAGAATTTGAAAATTTTATGAAATAACTATAATATCCATTGCATCAAAAACCTAGAGAGATGAGAATTTCCACCATTATATTCTGTGTAACGTAAATGCTTTATTATTGAAGAAAACTTGGTGTCTACCATTGCCAAGTAAAAAAAAAAAAAATCAATTAAGGAGGCAATGATGAGTTATTTTTTATATTAAATATTCTTCCTTTAATCTTGCAAGTATATTATGAAGATAGAAAGTTGTTAATTTAAAATTAAAACGAAATATGTTAATTTTAAAAGTTGTATTGTGATCAAATTTTATTCATAAACTTATTATTACAAGTGTTATGGAGACAAAAAGTTATAAATTTAGAATTAAAACGTATTAATTGTGAAATAGAATATGATAACTTTTAATGTTGTATTATGATCAAATTTTATTCAAAAATTTATTACAAGTGTGTTTTGGAGACATTAACGTGCTAATTTAGAATTGAAACTTGTTAATTACATAATTAAATATATTAATTTTTAAGATTGTATTGTGATCAAGTTTTATCTAAAAGCTTTGTATTATAAAGACAAGAAATTATTAATTTAGAATTAAAACGTGTTAATCACAAAATGGAATAAATTAATTTAGAATTTTCTTTTTGTTTCTAATAAAATAGACATTAGTATCATTTCATAAAATTTTAAAAGCCTTCTTTGGTCACATGACTTGATTCAGAATTTGACAAATCTAATAATCTAAATAAACAATTTGGGTTATTTAACATTTTTTTTTAATTTTTCCTATTTTATTGTAAATTTCTTCAAAAGAGTTGTAGGAAAAAGAAACAGTTCTTCAAACGAAAAAATTAATGCTTGTCATAATCTCGTCACCATCATCTATCATAATTGTAGTTTTAAAGAATAACTAATTGGGACCCATTAATGAAAAACCGAAAAGTCATTGGCATGACCGTATTTTAACAATATAACAAGCCTTTTAATGCTATAATAGAATATAATATAGGATAAAAAAAAATACTAAAATCAAATATTGTCAAACAATAAGAAGGATCAAATCCATACTTATGCTATGGCCCAAAAAAAAAAAATCCATACTTACGGAAAATAGAATATCACATCATGTTTAAATTTAGGTAACAAAGCGTACATGAGCAAAGTCTAGCTAACAAATAAGAGGACTCAAAATCTATACAAATCCAAAAGTATTCAGTCAGTTAATTAAATCAAAATTTCATGGCAGCATAAGGAAATAAAAATTCCATCCATAAATGATGAACCACTAAAATAAATGAAACAATGGCAAGATAGTTGCAATTTTCCTGAGATAAAATAATCTAGATAAAGATAATAAATTACTTTGAATGTCTAGAGATAAAAATCTTGGTTTAAAGAATATTTTAAGGGAATTTACCCAAGAATAAGACAATTTCTTAGACATTATGGAAAAAATACTTATAGTTGCTCAATTTAATTTAAAAGTATCAAAAATAACGCACCAACAATACATATAGACCATATGTGGGCAGATGATAGATATGCGTGACAAACAAATTACACATACGTACAAATGTAACAATTTGGAATACATCATCCTTAAGTTTCCCAACAAAAACCTGATCATCTGTCATCACATCATCTAACTAATCCTAGGCTACATCTCATACAAAGATATGTGGTTAGCTATTCTTTGAGCTATCTCTCTAACACCCAACTCGAACTTCATTTTACAAAACTATATTTTCACTTGCTAGCTGGCTAGCTAGCTAAAGGATGATGGATTATAAATTAATTGTTATTTGAAGTACTGCTGATGAGACTGCTTGCAGTGTGCAATGGCTCCCATAATCAAATTCCCTATCTCTAGTTCTTGACATGATCCATGCATGCACTTGCTTGTTGGAAGCCCAGAAAATGAAGAGGAACCATTGAAGCATAACTTATTGTTTGCAACTAATGATGATCTTGTTATTCTATTACTTACCATAGTTCTCACACTTTCCTCCATCTTGATCTGTGTCAATATCTATGCTTCTGAACTCGATTCTGGATGAGAATGACTGGAATCTCTCTCTATCTGATCTTTGAATAATCTGTCGAAATGGGTATTTCTTCCCCATCACCACTTTCCCATTCTGCTTATGATTCAAATTATTACTCTCTCTAGATCTTGAAGCCGAACCTTCATCTGCCACTTTCTTTGTCACGTAGGCTGACTATTTGCAGCTTATCTTTCCAAACCAAGCCTTCAATTTGGAACCCATTGAGAAGAATTGCTTCTTCTCCTTCATCATCATCTTCTTCTGGTTTTTCTCAGCAATGTCCACAAAATCACGATCTTCTTCTTCTGGGTTAAGCATCTCATGACCCGTAACTCGAAAAGACTCATGGAGTGAGACTTTGGGGGATTCAAATGGAGTTACTGTAACTGGTGTTGAGTATGAAGTTGTCAAGGGAGAGCTATAGAAGCCATCAAAGCCATAATCTTTCTGGCTATTAATTGGGCTTCTATTGGAGATAGAATCATTTACAGAATCAGAACTTACTGATAAATAAGAATGATCTTGTTGATTTTGGAGGATCTGTTGGACCATTTGAAGACGGGGAGGAAGGTGAAGAGGAAGGAGCTTGCCTTTGTAGAAAAGCTCGTCAGCTGGGGAAGTTGAGAAGCCTCACTGTGCTGAAAGATGGAGGAGGAAGAGGAGGAGGAGGACTTTGGAACTCAAATTCTGATGAATTAGGGTTAGGAGAAGGAGAAGTGTGAGAGAGAAGGAAATTGGAGAGGGAGCTGATCTCCATGTCGATGAACTCATCTTCTCCATCTGCTGGGAGAAGTAATTTTGCTGCCATTTTTGGTATATGTGGGATATGTGATCCATATGCATGCCAAACTCAGCTTTATATCATGGAGAAATGACGGTGGTGGTGAGAAATATTTCCATGCATCCACTTGCACGCACCCATCTTATTAGGGCCCTGCCTATCCTCTATATATGTTTTCTCTCATTTACCCTATATATGTGTAGGCATGTAGGGAGATA